GACAGGAAGAGAGGACACCGGAGGAGACGGCAGAGGTACACGCTACGGAGTAGTGGACAGACGCAGAGCCATCTGGTGCGTGCCAGGGACAGGAGGAGGACACTGACGCAAACCACGACGACTAGTGCGAGCAGCACGAACGGGCAACGCAGGACAAGACCCAGGCTCACAAACAGGCGACGCAGGACGAGACTCAGGCTCACGACGCTCCGTAAGACCTCCGGTCGGACCAGTGTAAGGAGAAGGAGCAGGCAGTGGGGAGGCGGGCTGTAACTGTGACTGCGACTGGATAGTCGGTGGACACTATAAGGAAGGAGCAGGACCTGTAGCAGGTGGGAGACCAAGAACGTGCTCACGGAGCGGAACGAAGTATGGCCGCGGCCGCGCAGCGCCTCCAGAACAAGCAGGGACAACACCGGCTCCAGCAGCACCTCCAGCTCCAGCCCCTCCAGCAGCTCCAGCTCCAGCAAGACCACCAGAAGCTCCAGCAGCTCCAGTACCGCCTACTCCAGTACCTCCAGCAGCACCGCCAGCTCCAGCACCTCCAGCAGCTCCAGCTCCAGTAGCACCACCAGGCCCAGCAGCTCCAGTACCTCCAGTACAAGCACCTCCGGGACCAGTGGCTCCAGAATCCCCAGCAGCAGCAGGACCTCCAGCGCCCGTAGCACCACCAGCTCCAGCAGCACGGCTCCAGCGCCGAGCAAACCACTCGCGCACCTGCTGTGGAGAGAGTGGCTCCCGCCGGGACGAAGCACCCGAAGGACCTCCAGGCTCAGCACCTCCAGACTCCACACGCGCAGGCTCAGCACCCTCAGGCTCCGCACCCCAAGACTCACCAACCCCAGGCTTATCACCCCCAGGCTCAGCACCCCCAGACCAGTACCCCCAGGCTCCGCACGCTCAGGCTCAGCACCCCCAGACCCGGCACCCGGCTCAGCACCCCTAGCAGCACCAGAGTCAACAGCTACCTCGACAGGCTCGACTACGTCTACCTGAGACACACCTGAGGGGGCAGGATCCTGAGGGGGGAGGGGGTTTACTAGGGGAGGACCTGGTGCGAGGAAGAGCGGCGGGGGGGAGAGGGGGGCTGTGCGGTAGGGGAAGAGACGGTAGTAAGGAACTGACTCGTCAAACGTGACGTCCTAAGAGGATAGAATACGGCGCGAGGTGGGGTGGTAAAACTGCCAACCAGGCGCGTCAGGGGGGAAGCCAAGGAAGACGCAGGGAACAGCATGGGAGGACAGCTTGTCCGCAGACAAGTCGCGGACGAAAGCTCGAGATCCCCAGACACGGAACGCAGACGCATCACCAACCTGCCCCGTCCACCGTAGAGTAGGTGTGGTCTCCGGCATGGAGACCCGGGGCTGGAGGTTGAGCTGATGCGCAGCGTACTGAACCGAGAACGGCCACAGAAAATGGGGAGCAGCTGCTTGGATCATGGACGTACGAGCGACGTCCATGACCATGCCAATGCGGCGCTCAGCAATCCCATTTTGCTGCGGAGAGGCCGGAAGCGTGAACGTCTGGCGGATGCCCTCCGCACGACAGAAGGCTCGCAGAAGGTCGGAGGAAAACTCTCCACCTCTGTCAGAGTGCAGACGCAGAACAGGAAGGTCCGAGCCAAAACTCTCGGTGAGCTGACAACGGGCAGCGCGGATCCAATCGATCAGCACCTCAGTGACCTCACCCGTGCGGCGCAAGGGGAAGATAGTGGTGTAACGCGAGTAGTCGTCAACGACCAGCAGAAAGTAGCGCTCGTGACCCTGTCCACGGACGCGGGCGGGGCCCCACACGTCCATGTGAAGAGTCTGCAGCGGAGCCTCCGTCGGAGGGAACTCATAGGAGTGAGGAGTGGCGCGCTGCCGCCCCTCGACGCAAGGAACGCAGGTAGGGTCAGGCCCCGGGGGAAGGGGAGGGAGAGACCAGGGAAGACCGGTGACAAGGACATGGGAGGCCATGCCTCGGAGACGAGGCAGGGAGGGGTGACCAAGGCGGTGGTGCCAGAGGAGAGTCTGGTGAGACAGGAGGCGACACGAGTAGGGGGCAGACTCAGGACCAGACCGGGACGCTGCAGCAAACACCTGACCCGACGCGGCTACCTGACCAGACTCGGCAACCGGAGGAGACACGGTAGTCAGGGTGTACAGGCTCGACCTAGGCTGACGGGTGAACGTGGCCAGGTGCCGGCCCGTCCGAGTACACGAACAGTGGGTCACCCGCTGACCTCCAGGAGTGAACTGGTCAACCCACGCGTCCTGAAGGTCAGCTTCACTCACCAAGTTCGTGGAGAACGAGGGGAGGTGGAGGCCAGACAGAGAGCCAGACGGAACCGCCGGACATGGCAGAACCGTGGAGGAGTGTGCAAGGACCGGATCCCCAGCAGGGTCAGCCAAAGAGACTGCCATTGGCCGAATGAGCGGCGAGAGTGTGGTGCAGTCGCGATAGAAAGAGAGAGAAGCTCCCGAGTCAAGCATGAAGGTGTGCAAGACCGCAGCAGGCGCAGTACCAGAGAGAGCAGACTCACAAGCACCTGGAGCAGTAGACTCACTAGCGCCTAGAGCAGCAGCCGCAGCGGGACTCTGTGTGACCAACCGTCCCGCAAGGCTGACCAGCCCGAGCACTTGTGCGAATGACGTAGGGGCAGTGAGCAGTACTCCGTGACCCTCTACTCTGAGCGTACCACTCACGAAGCTGCTGGGGCAAAAGGATCTCGCGCGGACGCCGCTGCAGCTGCACCTGGCCACTACAAGAAGCTCCCGATCGACCCGCTCCAGGGCGACTCCCACCACGGCCACCCGTACAACCCCTACTAGCGTACCACTCACGAAGCTTCTGGGGCATGAGGGACTCACGCGGACGTCGCTGGAGCTGCATCTGGCCACCGCCTATAGCAGCAGGAGTGGCATTGCAGCAGTAGTAGCAGAGACAGCTGGAACAGCAGTAGCAGCAGGGCAGAGCAGCGCGGCTCAGTAAGGCAGGGCGGCGCGTCTTGGCCGAGCGGCGCGGCTCGGCTGGGCGGCGCGGCTCGGTTGGCAGGCAGGCACGGCACGCGCGGCAGCACGCTGGTAAGGCAGGCACGTGAGCAGTGCAGGTAGGGCAGGTGCTCACCAGAGGCGGGTAGGGCAGATGCCACCGGCGGCGGTGGGCAGGCGCTCAACGGGCACGGGTAGGGCAGGTCTGGCGCTCGATGGGTGGCTGCAGGCGCTCGACGGGCGGCTTTAGCGGGGCCGCGACGGCGGCTACGACGGGGCCGCGACGGCGGCTGCAGGCACGACGGCGACTACGGCTGGGCAGGGCCGCGACGGCGGCAACGACGGGGCAGGGCCGCGACAGCGGCTACGGCGGGGCCGCGAGGGCGGCTGCAGACGCGACGGCGGCAGGGTAGGGCAGGTGCGGCCGCCGCAAGGGCGGGCGCGGGTGGGGCAGGGCGCGGGCAGGCCGCAGATGAGGCAGGGCGCATCGGCCAGGGGGGGGGCGTGGCGCCGCGACGAGCAGGGACGGCGCCCAGGGGGGGGGGGTCGTGACGAGCAGGGGCGACGCCGCGCGGGTCCCGCAGGTGCGTCGCGACGAGCAGGAGCGGCGCCGCGCGAGTCCCGCAGGGGCGTCGCGACGAGCAGGGGCGACGGGCGGGTCCCGCAGGGGCGCCGCGCGGGTCCCGCAGGGGCGTCGCGACGAGTAGGGGCGACGCCCGGGTCCTGCAGGGGCGTCGCGACGAGCAGGAGCAGCGCCGCGCGGGTCCCGTAGGGGCGTCGCGACGAGCAGGAGAGGCGCTGCGCGGGTCCCGCAGGGGCGTCGCAACGAGCAGGGGCGACGCCCGGGTCCCGCAGAGGCGTTGCGGGGTCCAGGGGCGGCGTCTCGGGGTCCAGGGGCGGCGTCGCGGGGTCCAGGGGCAGCGCCGCGGGGTCCAGGGGCGGCTTCGCGGGTGCAGGGCAGGCCCGCGCGCGGCCTGCAGGGCAGGGCGACGGGCAGGCGCTCGAGGGCGCGGGTAGGGCAGGCGCTCGAGGGCGCGGGCAGGGCAGGCGCTCGAGGGCGCGGGTAGGGCAGGCGCTCGAGGGCGCAGGCAGGGCCAGCGCTCGAGGGCGCGGATAGGCAGGCGCAAGGCGCGTGACGGGGCAGGCAGGCACGGCAGTGCGGTGCGGGCAGGGCAGAAAAAAGTTCGTGGTGGGCCCTAAAAAAAACCGTTCCCACTAGGGAACCTGCTCTGAAACCATGTTAAAGTTAGAACGAGGAATGACTAGAAACAGGACAGTACAAGGTTTGTATAGGCAAAACCTAACAATTCTGTACCCCATAAGGAGTGCCCCACTACAGCCTACAATATAGTTCTGACAGCTTTTCACGCGGCAAGCTTTGATGCCGGCGCTGGCAGGCGGGAAAAGCCAGTGGTACAGTACCTGACTTCTCCGATTCTTGCTAATCTGCGGATGGACGGCGTAAACTATTCGATGGCCTCGTACGTGACTCGTGTCATCAAAGGCCTTACCGCGGAGTAGAAGTATCTTCGACAAATGCTCCAAACTCCGGAAAAATGCAAGACCCTCGTTAAAAACACTCTGACGAGCAAGATTATTGCGGAGGAGTGCATGCTCGAGATTGAAAAAAACGGAAGGAATCATCTCTGCCACATGTCAACTGGGCGTCGACGGACAGCAGCAGCAGCAGCGGCAAAACCGTTGGCCTTCTTCGACATCTGACACCTCTACGGAGCAGAAGTCATCGAACAAAGAGCGGCAGAAGAAAGATGGTCGACAGCCACAACACAAGCAAAGCTCAAAGAAGCCTTGCAGGGTCTTTGAAGAAATCATACAGTTTTCAGTGTAAACAACAAAGGGCAATGCTCATACGCAAAAGGAGAGTTCTTCGAAGCATGGAACGCAGAGCGGTAACTCTAACCCATCCAGAAAAAAGGGCCCTTCTTGCGCAATGGTGGGACCAGTTGTGGACCAGCTGCACATGGCCGACCTACATATTTTGCTGAACGCAGATGACGGCGAGGATTTTCAGGCGATTGCTGCAGCCGTCGAGGCTGATCCTGCAGGGTGAGATTGAGGAAGAAGGGAATGAGCAGCCTCATCCCTCTGCACCGCTTCCAATACATGGCGGGGAGTGAGGGCATACACCGATGCAGCAGTTGTGGGCAGCACACACACGTCGCCCTCGAGCATGCGTGCGTCTGGTCTGACACATATGCCAACAGGCGCAATGCTGCCATGCTCTCCGTAGTGGCCCATGGGAACTTGGGGGCCCACGGCCGGCGCAACCATGCCAGCAGCAACAGAAGCAGCAACAACAGAAGCACCGGCATCAGGTGTACCAGACATCTCCTCAAGGCCCACTCTGCCTGCTGCTGCCACACTGACTGCCTCCCCCACCACGCTATCCAGCCAGCAGCCACTGACTCTCCGCCTGGCAGCCAACAGCGCCACCAGCAGCGCCTTACTGGCCATGCTGAGAATCACCCCCTTGCCCGTCCCACCTGACAGAGACACGGGGACGTAGTGACACAATGACATGCACAGCACGGTGGGTGGGGGAAGGGAAGGCGGAGTCTAAGTGCGTGGGGTACGCTGATGCCGATAAGACTGAGTGTCACCGTCACAACGTCACTCCCCCTTCCTCCCCTCCCCCCCCCCCCCCCCCCCCCCCCCCCTTCTCCTCTCTCCCACTCGCTTCAACTCACCCCACCTCCCTTCACCAACCCCTACCCTGCCTACTCTCACTTCACCCCCACCAACTCTACCACACCTGATTTAACTAAGTGGAACCCCTCCAGCAGCCCCAGCAGGTCCACCAGCCAGTCCATCACAACCTCCTCTAGATATGTGGCAGCAGGGGCAATGGCCCAAGAAAAGCCGACGACGTTGAGGGCGCTGATGAGGGCATCAGCACAGATGGCGGCAGCGCTGGTGGGCGAGGAGAAGAGGGTGAAGAAGCACGGGCTCTGCCACTGCGTTAGGCCTAGTAGGATGGCGTTGGATATGTCTGCGTGGTGCAACGCGGTGATGCATGTAGAGGAGGAGTGAGATGGGGGTAGAAAACGGGTGGGGGCCGAAGGGTGGTGGACGGAGAGTGGAGGGAGAGGGAGGGATGGGGGAGAAGAGGGGTGTGTTTGGGAGAGGAGGGTTGGGGGAGAGGAGACGATGGTTAGAGGGGAAGAGAAGGGGAAGGACAGGGGGTGAGGGGAGAAGGGAGAGAGGAGAGGCAAGGGGGAGAGAGAAGAGAGGCATAAGGGAGAGAGGAAGGAGAAGAGAGAGGTTGTGAAGGAAGAGACAGGAGATGAGCCGGTGGGAAGAAGGTGAGGGGAAGAAGGGGAGAGAGGGGCGGAGGAGGAGCATGTTACGGTTGAGGCTAGGAAGAGCAGGGTTTAGGGATATTCAGCGAAACGGTGCGGAAGAACTACGCTCTCATTATCTGCAAGGCAACGGCAATCTGTCACATTCCTGATTACGGATGGCATTGAGAATATGCCAAGGACAAACAAACCGGCCTGTGGGTTATCACCACCCTGTGCGATCAACGGAAGCATACATGTCCGCCGTACCTGAAGGCGTGAGGGGCGAGGAGCTTGGGAAACCGTGTGGCGGTTCTTTACCGCCTCTACGTGAATATCATTCGTGCGGACCCGTTTCTACCCCCCAAGACCATCTGCGCCCAGATGGCCGCTCTGAAAGGCCCCATCGTGAACTACCATCAAGCGTATAGGTAAGTCAATGGAAAATTTGAACTTAACACCATTGCTTTTGCTCAGTGCATCTTGCATGGTTTCGGGTGTTCATACATGAACATTAAGGAGTGGAAATTCACTTCCGTTTTGCAATGATCCACCCTGCATGCAGGCTATGAGAGCTGATCTAAATGGAGGTATACGGGTATTGGCATGACTCGTTCCGCCTGTTCCTGGCACTTACGGCCCGCTTCAAGAGCATTGACCCAGAGTCATCGGTGAAGATCCTGACGTACAACAGCCACTTCCATCTTATCTTCGTCTCCCCATCCCCGTCCAACATCTCACTGCATCACTGCATACCCGTCGTTGCCCTTGATGGCACGTTCCTCCTACGTGCACAGCGAGCCTTGCTTCTCATTGCTGTTATCCTGGACGGGAACCAGGAAATCATATTGCTTGCATGGTTCGTTGAGCCCAAAAACAAGGACTCCTGGAGCTGGTTCTTGGCCAACTTCACGATGACTTTCCCCGAATGGATGCAGCGGGAGAACGCGACTATCATTAGCAATCGAGACAACGGATTGGTCCCTGCAGCGAAGGAGTTCCTCCCTGACACCATCCCCCATTATTTTTGTGGGTGGCATTTGAAGCAGAACATTTGCCGGCGGGGAACGGACGCGAAGATCTTCTTCTGGCGCATGTTGAAGGCTCGTCTAAAGCCCAAGCGGAAGGCCCTCTTGAGGGAACCGCGTGTGAACTTCACCAAAATGGCGGAGTATCTGTTTGGGAAGGAGGAAAAGCCACGTGATCCACCCGTGGGGGTAGGGGCATCGGCGCCGCCCACTACCAGCAACCCTGCAGAGACAACCCAGGAGGCACGTGCGAGGACTTGCCTGCGGGCCGTATCTGTCGTCGTGCACAGGCACATCGTCTACGTCAGCGCAAAAAGGCACGGCGTCGGGCTGCAATGCAAGGGCCGCTGCGCATGGGACGGCTTGCAATACCGAGGAAGAGGAGGTGGCGGTCGGGAATGACGCTGAAGGAGACGGGTGGGCTGGTGACGAAGCTGCAAAGAATGGGGCGGCTGAGAACGAAGTTGCAGAGGATTGGGCTGTTGAGAACGAAGCTGCAGAGGATGAGATCGCTGGTAGAGACGGTGCCTACGGTCGGGCATCTTCGAATGACGCTGCAGCGGATGCGGCTGCTGGTAATGGCTTTGCAGATGCGCCCACCAATGCTGCATTCCAGGGTTCTCCCAACTGCAGTGCTCCACGTCCAACTCTGCCCCCCCCTTAATGTCGTCCCCCCCCCCCCCCCCCCCCCCCCCACCAATCGGGAAGCCCGCAGCCTTCCTTTCGACATTGATGACATTCTGTTGTCGGTGCGACTTGGTTACTTCCGCGAACATGGACGTCGGCGCGCAGCTGATGGCGTAGGTGCGGGAACGGCCCTAGCTTTACTACCTCCTCCACCAGATCCCTTAACAGCAAGTGATGCGGCAGGAACAGTGGCCCCCGGTGGTGCTGAGATACCCAAGGTTGCAACGGCTAGAACCGAATCCAGAAGCGCTGATGTACCAGAGGCCGAACCAAATCTCGCTCATCCATGGCCAGACCTAGGAGGTGGCGTCAAAGCTGGGACTAACGCAGACGTAATTGGGGAGGATGGATTCACTAATCCGTCGACATCTCGTCCACAGAGGATGGATGAGGATGAAGGCCCTGCAAGAGCGCGAACAAGCTTTCATCAAAACAATGCTGGCTCTAAGTACCGCATTGGTATCCACCCAAAACACTGGGCACGCGTCTACGCCCGTACCGCACGGTACGGGATCTACACCGACAATGCGGCCGAGTTAGTCAACTCCGCCATTCGTCCCATTCGGCAGCTGCCCCCCGTCTACCTCGTCGCTGCGCTGTGGGACTGGTACCGGAAGAAGATGTACGAGCGTGGAGCATATGCAGAGTGATCGGAGAGTTTCTGACGGAGAAGGCCATGAAGCGCCTGCCTGACAAACGCGAACATAGCAAGCATTACAAGGTGACGATCGGTGGTCCTGGGAACGGCACGGTGAAGACCTTGGGCAGCCGCGACTTTGCAGAGTGGAGGTCCTTCAACGTGGACCTACGCCCTAGGAAAGGAGTACGCCTTTCCTTGCTCGCATGTCGTTGCCTTTCGTCGAGAGCTGGAGACGACGGACACGGACCATGTTTCGGACTTCTACACCACCGAAGCGCTTCGTCGAGCGTACTCTGGGGTCGTCCATGGCTCTTGTGTGGATCGGCTGATTGCAAAGACTATGATACCACTGCGGAGTGTCTGCGAGCCTCCCCAGTTCAAGCGTTATGATCGTGGACGACCAAGGACGATCAGACGCATGGATGCGCCAAAGCAGAAGTACAGGTGCAACCCCTGGAGGGGCGATGATCACAACAAGTCGCGTTGTCTGGGGGTGTATGGGGCTGAGGCAAGGAGGCGGGGTCCACAGACCTGAAGATGGGCTCCATGAACTGGTAGGTTTATTGGGCTGAGCATGGTGTGTGGGAGAAGGTAAGTGAAAATGTCGCGCACGATATATTACGCTTCATGAAATTATGCACCTGAGATGCTAGTTCGTAATGGTTTTGGTTTTTTTAACCCTCTTTTGGGCAGACATTGCGTGACAACCACAGTTTCCTTCCGCCCCTCCTCCATTTCTGCCCCTCCCCCGTCCCCTTCTTATTGTTAGGGTCACCACGCCTGTATTCAGGAGCATATCGACAGTGGAAGAGAGAGGTGAAGATAAAGCGAAGATGACTGAGGAGCTCAAACGCACCCACGAGTCTTTAAGAGGGTTTGGGCGGATGGCGAGCGAAACAGAGCAGCTGCTGCTGGCAGTGCTAGTTGAAACTATGGGTTTTATGTTGGTAGAAGATGGTGGCAGAGGAGGGTCAGGCGGGGGAGGTTGTCAGAGGTCCACTGGAGATCCTCGATTGATCCTAAGGGCTTTTTTGTGTAGCGGGTGGGTGCGCCTATAACCCCCAGCCGACGTGCCTGTAACCCTTCCCTAGGATCGATTGGGCATCCACAGTGCAGATCTACTGACAAGGGGGGGGTGGGGGGGTGGGGGGGGGAGAAGGGTCACGAGGGGTTGAGGGAGGGTGGGGTGGAGGAGAATGGGGTGGCAAGTGGGAAGCGGAGTCGAGGGGAAGAGGAATTAGGAGGGGTCTGGTGTGGGAGTGAAGGCTGGGAGAGGAGAGAAGGTTGGAAAAAGAGACAGTGTTGGGAAAGGAGCAAAGGAGAAGAGGGTCGTTGTGAAACAAAAAAGGGACTGGTTCTCATTCCCCTTCTCGCCCTCGCTCTCACTTAACAGTCTCGTTTACTTTCTCGCTTTCCAGATCTCTAGCTACAAAAGAAACGGAATTGGTCAGTCTCTCGCTCTCATTCTCGTTCCCGTTCTGTTATTTGTTCTCGTTCTCCTTCTCGTTCCCATTCTCGTTCTTGTTCCCATTCTCATTCTGTTATATTGGCGTGACAACTATGAGCATTAGACTCATTGATGCAATGTCTTTTTGAATAGCACGATTTCATCAAGTATTAATGATGCAACCTCAGTGTGAACGAACAGCACTATGGCAACCAGTATAGTCTTAGAACACAAACTTGGAAGAGTTACGAGTAGGGAATGATTCCCAGCCTCTACAAACCCCAAAAGCCAAGTTCTCAAGAGCTGGAACAGTGCCTCACAGTTCCCAACCTCGAAAGGTGTGAAAACCACCCACCGTAAGGGCCTATACCAAGATTTTTTGTTACACTACACAATGCAATGT